GTTTTATTTTGCATTTCCAGTCTTTTTACCCTACTACTCAGCATAACTGCCGAGAAAGCAGCTTCAGAAGAGACCCACTGTGAAAATCAAATCACAAAATGCATTTCACAGCCCCCAGAAAACAGGAAAAACCAATCAGCATTAAAAACTGTTGTGTACCCGGAGAAACCGTGCACACGGTCGGGTCCGCATGTGGCCATGCGAATGGCCCAAGCTTTGCTTCCAGAGACAATAGCCCGAACGGATCCTAGGGCACACCTATCGGACGCCTAGGATCCAAGAATGGACCTTTGGGACTTGGGTGCACTGTAAATATCCTATCACGGGTGTGGGTGTGTGTTTGGGTGTGGTTTGCTACGGGGATATAATATACGGGGATATACTTCATCTCAAGTTCTCCTGTATATAATAAAATATGAGCTGAAATTACTCCTCCATGCATCAGTCTGTACTTCATCCTTTAAAGCTCAGAATGAAAGATCGACGAGTCTCACCTCCAAGGACCAAACATAAGTTTAGAAACTATCTTACTTAAATGGAAATGGATCTGTCCTCCTCCTCCACTACCAACACCACCACCACCACTACTACTACTACTCCAACTCCAGATTTTCCATTTTCCCTGGCTCCTCTCACCTCAGTATCAGTGTTCCCTCTAAGCTGAGTTAGTGTGAGCTAGCTCACAGTTTTTCAGCCTCCAGCTCACATATTTTTGTCTTCGCTCAGGAAGGATGACTCTAGAGCCAAATAATTTATGCAGTAGCCAAATCGCTCGCTCACAAATTTCATGTCAGTAGCTCACGGAGTAGAATTTTTGCTCACAAGATTCCACAGCTTAGAGGGTACATTGCTCAGTATCCACATAAGAATGTAGCAGGAGAGACTGGGATGGGGGGAAAGCCCAGGGAAAAGGTCCCACCCTCAAAGGAAGGGGGAGAGAGAGGCAGCCTCCCTGCACTGCCCTAGCCCCACCTCTCCAAAGGAAGAAGGGAGGGAGAAGGGGGGCCAACTGCCAAGCGGGCCTCCTCTTTCCAAGCCTAAGACATGGCTTGAGAAAGGAACAGACCTTGTGTGGATCTTGGGCCTGTGGGAAGATTTGGGAGCAGTGCCTGGGGAGGGCGGAGCCTTTTTTGGGGGGGGGATCACTCACCACCCATTCTGCTCTAGATATTTCTCCAATCTGCACTGTCTTTACCATAGAGTTTGGGAGAAATTCCTAGAGTGGCACCATCAACATTGCCCCTCAGGCCCGTAGCCAGGATTTTTTAAGTCAGGGGGCATTTAGATTTCTTAGGGGGCACCAGCTAATCAAATTAAAGATAATTTAAGTAAAGAAAGTGAGGCACAGGCACAGGATCCCTGCGCTGGTCTCTGCTCCGGCCACCGGCAAGTTGGAGTCTCCCTCCCGCTGCCACTGTGAGCATCTAGCTTTCCTCCCACCCCAGAGGGCCTTGGCTGGAGCTGCCCCTCCTGGGGGGAGAAGTCCCTAATGCCCTGGGCTGGATAGGAAGTTGGGGGGGGGGCTTGCCAGAAAGCCGTGGGCCTAGCCCCGAGATGCCCCACTGTAGCTACGGGCCTGTTGCCCCTCCATTTTTTCTCCCACTGCTAAAATAATCAAGGGCAGGGGACTGAGGGCAGGAGAGGGAACTTGCCCACTGGGCAAATGGCAGCCCTAGTTATATGTGAACCAATGGGCTGAGCATAAGTTTCCCCAGTGAGGCCGATAGCCCCCTGGGATGGGTACGGATGAAGAAAAGGGGGGGGTGTTAAGTCCCCTCTCCCGACAAGCCATAGTTCCAATCTGAACTGGTCCCCATGAATCTCGGAATCTAAACTCCAGTAGGAAACTCCCAGCGTACATCTAGTTGACGGGACCGAGGATGGACCTGGGGGTGGACGTGGGCACAGTCTATTGTCTAGTGAGGTCTGGAGTGGGGATTTGAACCCAGGTTTCCTCCAGCCACGCCAATGCTGGCTCTCGAATGGTAAAACAAAAAAGCTGGCAACCCCGGACCAGTCTGTCATCTTCCTTGAAAAACAAAACAAAAGAACCCTGAGCGAATCCATTTTTAAGAGCTCTTCCCAGCATGGCGTTATCTCCCCACTTGACAGAACTGGAGCATTCGTTCAAACTCATTATGCTTCATTGTTCCGATGTTGCCTCCTAATAGCTTCATCCCACTTGAGGAGGGGAGGCTGGGTGGGAAATACAGTTTCTTCCAGATGCTCCCAATTAATTACACTCGCCGTACTTTGGGGAGGGGGAGAGAAGATGTAGACGCAGGGCTATTTTGGGGCAGGAACGCACAGGAATGGAATTCCGGCTGGCTCCTAAATTGGCCACGCCCAGCAGGAACTCATTAGCATAATAGGCCACACCCAACAGCAGGAACTCACTAGGATTGGCTACATTAGGGGTGTGTGGCCTAACATGCAAAGGAGTTCCTGCTACAAAAAAGGCCCTGGCCATTTTGACAACAAACAAGATAAACAGAATAAGAAGCAAAAGGTGGGTGTGGCTGGATGACCACACTTCTGGTAACATGGGGGTGTGGCCTAATATGCCAATGAGCTGTGCTGTCATGGGTGTGGCCTAATATGCTAATGAGTTCCTGCTGTTGGGTATGGCCTATTATGCTAATGAGTTCCTGCTGGGCTTTTTCTACAAAAAAAGCCCTGTGTAGACACATTCTGAATGGAGCTCTAATTGTTTCGGAGGAAGACCCCCGTGAGCATCGGGCACCCATCAGAGCTATTGGAGGCGCCTCCATAATTAATGGTACCCTGGCATGTCGACCGCAGGGCCACGAGAGACAGAAGGCGAAATGGAGGCCTGTGGGAAGACGAGCAGAGAGCCTCTTGCAGGCGCGGCGGGAGGTCACCTCAGAGTGCCTCTCAGGCAGATGAGCCACTTAAAGGCATTTTGCATGATTTGTAAAATCAGTGTTAGAAGCAGGAAGCGGCGACACATCTAATGGGATCTGAATCAGCAGGATTTGGTTTCTCACCTCAGGGCAGGACGAAGCTACCTTTCCATTCTTGTATCTTGAGGTGCTCCTGCTGCCGATGGCCCTCACGTCTCCTATTTCCTCAGCCACCCAAACGTCACCATCTCCCTCAAGCGACTCCACCTTTTCTCCTTTACTTCCCCTTTCACCTGGGACAGCATCCTCAAACACCCATGTTGATGCCACCTTTCTCCCTTACTCCAAATTCCTTCACCAAAGTCACCATTTCCCTGAAGTCCCCCGGCCTGACAGAAACTTTTTCTAAGCACGTGTTCAAGTGGAATGGATGCAGATTCTTTACCCGTCTGCCTCCTTCTCCTTCCTCTCCCTCATGTCCATTTTTTAAAATCGTGAATTCCCCAGGAATATTTCACTTAGTAAAGAGCCATGCACATTTGATGGTGTGTTATTACTCATCGCCCTCCTCACAATAAACTCTGAGAGATCCAGAGCAAACGCCAGTCTTGAGGTCTTTTCTTAAAGGGGAAATTTTGGCATAGAAATGGCCCAAAATAAAGAAACATGAATTAAATACATTTGCCAACCGCAAGCTAGGTTAAGACTTTGGGGGCCTTTCAGTTTGGGGGGGGGGGGAACCAGGCAGCAAAGAAGAGGACACAATAGAGGTTTTAAAAACTGCGAATGCAAGAGAGCCAATGTGGTATAACAGTTTGAGGGTTAGGCTATGGCTTCAGAGCCCCAGATTCAAATACAGGCTCAGGGGACTGACCTATACTGATTCACCTGCACACACATGAAACTCACTGGGTGACTTGAGGCAGTCACCTTGTAGCCTAACAGCAACCTCCTACCCCCACATGCTCTCACTCATTCTTGCAGCAGGAGAAACGGAGGGGGGGAGGTTGATATCATGATGTGGTAATGTCACATCCAAGTGCCACAACAGCAATGATGGTGGCCCAGGTAGCAGCCACTGCGAAGTCTGCCTTTTACCATCTATGGCTGATCAAGCAGTTGGTTCCCTTCCTTGAACACAATGACCTGGCAACAGTGATCCACGCGATGGTTACCTCGAGATTGGACTACTGCAATGCTCTCTACATGGGGCTGCCCTTGTCCCAAATCCGGAAGCTGCAGCTGGTGCAGAATGCAGCAGCGAGGCTGTTGCTGTGTCTTTTGCAGTCCCGCAGGGCCTGTAAGATGGAGCTCTTCTGCCAGGCTTTCAGGTACGGGCCGCCTTGACATCATGGCCCTGGCCCTAATATCAACACCACCAGCAGCCTGGCCTTAACATCAACACCTCCACCATCCAGATCATTAACAACCTGGCAGGAACCTGGAGGCAGCCATTCAAATTGTGACAGAGTGTCACCATCTGTATTATGATTGGGTGTGTTCAGACATGCCATTTCAGCTGGTATAAACTGCTCCGGTTCCAACCAGACCAATTTGATCCGGAAGAAACACGATCACACTCACCTCCCTCACTATGCAGCACATCGCAATATGCCCGTCCACACTTCAGGCGCTCAGCAGTGCGCATCGGCGTTAAAAAAAAATTTCTACAGTTTGCACATGCGCATAGACAATCTTTCATATAATTGAGATCTTCGCACATGCGTATAATACCGTAGCCCGAAAAGCATGCCCTGAATCGAAGACTTCCCTTTAAACTTTGACATCGAAACTGGCCTCGGTGAGGTCCCGGATTCGTCTGAGGGCTGAAACTGGGCACCGTTTAAAGTTTGCTTTTACTAGCGCCGGGGCAAAGCTTCGCCCAAGCGCACATCACCTATGATTTTTTTTAAAAAGGAGGATGAAAAGCGGAAGCCTCGGGCTTCCAAACGGAAGTGGCTCTACACCAGCGGAGAGCGATCAGACGGGGAAAAAGCAGCTGGAACCGGAGCACTCAGGATAACACCACTTGGGTACCTAGTGGCAAACTACACTGGTTTAAGGAGTGTTTGCGATGATTGGCAATGGTTAGGGACTGAAGGCAGATGTTGTGCTTGTGATCGCGCATAAGTACTCCATATCTAACCGGATTCTATACCGGCTTAAATGCCCCGTCTGAACACACCCATTATCTCTCCCTTATTATAAAAGAGTAGTGGGTGCCAACGTTCTAAAATGCACACCTTTAGTGTATGGACGCTTGAACTGTCAGTCAGAAGACGCTGGCTGGGTTGACTGGCTGCTTTGTGCAGTCCCGCCCAGCGTTTCAAGGTCTTTTGCATATGGAAGCTGATTGGACTTCACTCCATTCCACACCTCAAACTCCCCCCCCCCGCAAGGCAGTTGAAATGTCAGTTTCATATGGAACCTGCTGTATTCTGGTGGTGTGGAGGTCCCAGGTTCATGTTTTAAAAGCTGCCTGGGGGATTATGGACCATTCACACACTTTCAACCTTAACATACCTCATAGGGTAGTTGTGCGGATCATACGGGGGAGAGGAGAATGATGTCAGCTGCTTTGGTTCCCACTGCAGGGGAAGACTGCCCTTTTCCTGGCGCGATCTCACCCCAACATCTGGGAAGCACAGTGCTCCCGTGGCGAACCCGTGGCTCCCCGCCGAAGGTGCGGAATTAAAAACTAGTACCTACGAGGTACTAGTTTCCTGAAACCGCGGGCCAAGGGCGGGTGTCTGATCGCGTTCCTGGTGGACTTATGTGGCATCCGGCGCCCGCCGCTGTTCATCTCCGCAGGTTGCGCAACAGCACCCAACAGCGCATGCGCACAAAGAGCTATTGCTAGTGCGATCGCGCGGCGTGGCTTCTGTGCCACGCTGCAGGATACCCGTCTGGTCGGCATTTCCCCCGAACCACGGGACCTCGATCGGGACGTGTGCTCGGGCAGCCGCGCCTTAGTTTCCTCCGGGGCAATTAGCCATGCCTCCCACCCGCGATACCCTGCCTGTGTGAGGTCCTGTGCCTTTGCAAGCAGCTGGCAGGATCCAAATGAAAGCCAGTTTGGTGTAGTGGTTAAGTGCGCGGACTCTAATCTGGGAGAACTGGGTTTGACTCCCCGCTCCTCCACTTGCAGCTGCTGGTGTGATCTTGGGTCAGTTACAAGTTCTCTCAGAGCTGTTCTCTCAAGGGCAGTTCTCTCAGTGTTCTCTCAGTCCGACCTATCTCACTGGAGGGGAAGGGAAAGGAGTTTGTAAGCCTCTCTGGGACTCTGAGTGAAGGGCTGGTTATAAATCCAATCTCCTCCTCCTCCTCCTCCTCCTCCTCCT